ATGGGCTTACAATTTATTTACCTATTGGGTCACGAGCCCAATATTGAAAACCACTATCATCGAGGCCCAATCACCTTCATATAAGGTTTGAGCCAAACAATCTCAACTAAGGTATAAATAACGATATAATTCATTTATTAAAGGTACGCCCTATTATCTAAATAATATTACGAGTCATATTCTCTCAACTATTTCTACTATCCGCACGTCTGACTTGAGCATCGGAGGGGTTCCCGCCGGGTCAACCCCTGTCTAGTTCACGTGTTCTATGATCGCATGTATCTCAAGTTCATCAAGCTCGTGAGCCAGTGATCCACTTTGCTCTTCTAGCTCATCCTACTTCAACACTCTAAGGTGATCTACTTTGTAGCATCCTCATTTTGGCGCCGTCTGTGTGAAGGCGGACATAATCACGTAGCGCGAATGATGGCTTTGAAACATCTGCTCAGGGGAGTTTGACACTGCTAACAACCTCCCACCTCGTGGAGGCTCTGTCTTGCCACTTCCTCCTCCTCGTGCTCGGGATCCACCACGAGACCTTCCTCGGGTGTCCCACTAGATCCTCAACAAGACCATCTTCTACTTGCTCCTCAAACGGTTCAGATAACTGATGAGGATCTTCAGCATATGACCGCGGAAAGCTTCCACTCGTGCTGCCAATAAAGCTGTGGCACAACTCGTGAGCATCCACCTCAGACCGTAGGTCTCGAATGTAACAACCCACCCCAAGGTTGGACATCTCATCCCAAGGGTTCGTGATCGCCTCATCCTAAATTGGGGGGTTATCCTACCCCAAGGTTGGGCATCTCATCCCAAGGGTTCGTGATCGCCTCATCCTAAGTTGGGGGGTTATCCCACCCCAAGGTTGGACATCTCATCCCAAGGGTTCGTGATCGCCTCATCCTAAGTTAGGGATTTATCCCATCCCAAGGTTGGACATCTCATCCCAAGGGTTCGTGATCGCCGCATCCTAAGTTGGGGGATATCCCACCCCAAGGTTGGGCATCTCATCCCAAGGGTTCGTGATCGCCTCATCCTAAGTTGGGGGTTATCCTACCCCAAGGTTGGACATCTCATCCCAAAGGTTCGTGATCGCCTCATCCTAAGTTGGTGGCTATCCCACCCCAAGGTTGGGCATCTCATCCAAATTGATCGTGATCGGCTCATCCTAAGTTGGGGGTTATCCCACCCTAAGGTTGGACATCTCATCCCAATGGTCCGACATCACCTTTATTTTTTAACCCCAAGGTTCACATCCCATCTCAAGAGCCGAATATGGTCTCCCTACTCAAAAAATAAAACATCTTCCCCAAGGAGTGGACATCAACCACCTCAAAAAAAAGGGGGGAAAATGCTGCTAGCGTATGGGCAGCCGCGCGTTGTAACAAAGCATACCCCAGTCCGCACGAATGCGCGGGAAAAAAAGGGGAAATACGCGTGGAATATAACGCGCCAATCGTGCGGCCCCTAGATCAGCCCGCGTAGAAAAAAAAAAAAAAAAAAAAAAACAGAGCGTGTGCACTGCACGCGCCCAGTCATCCAAATATCCGCGTGATGCGCGCGTGGTCGCCTCCCAAGGGTGTCAAATCGCCAATCAGCTTTTTCTCTCTCCTCATTAATCACAACTTTTTCTCTATTCTCATTAATCACACCTCAAATCACCTATCTCCTCATAAAAAATGGGTACCATCACTTTCTCTCCGCACATTAAATGTGCGCGCCTCCATGCCTGTGCGTTCTCCAATGCGCGCACGATCCCATGTGCGCGCATTCTCCAATGCGCGCCTCCTCTCTGACTCAGAATGCGCGCAATTTCAGTACTCTCCACCAAATTGCGCGTATATTTTGACGCGTTTCACCAAATCACGTAAGAATTTCAACGCGCTCCACCAAATCGCGCGCGCTCTCCAACCCGCCTCACCAAATCGCGCGCACTCTCCAGTGGATAAATAAAAATTATTATTTCTCCACGTCACGCCAACAATTAACGGAATTCTACTATGCCGATCTACTCTCGACACGATTCGGTATCCTTTTCGACTTGTCTCACCCATCGAATCGAGAGTGGGGGGCTTGCTAGACAACTCCCACTAGGAGACAACTCGCTTGGAACTACGAACCCGCATCGAGACAACTCCTACGAGGAGACAACTCGCTCGGTCCTACAACCCGTTGCGAGGCAACTCCCACAAGGAGCCAACTTCCTCGGTACTACAACCCGCAGCAAGACAACTCCCACGAGGAGCCAAGTCGCTCGGCACTACAAATCCGTTGCAAGACAACTCCAACGAGGAGACAACTCGCTCAGAGCGACCTCAATCCGCACGCTCCTCAGTCTTGCGTCATCCACGCTCCTACAACTTCGATGCGAGACAACTCTCTTGAGGAGACAACTCGCTCTCAATTCACTACACAATCGCAAGCTCAAGTTAGCACGATTACAACCTTAGAAACACTTAGAGATATTATGGGAATCTATATAGCCTGGCCAGCTTGATTACTCAAATTTCTCTATTTTTTTCCGACGGGTCATTCATTAAAACGTCGCCACGATCCAAACATACTTACGACCCACGAGGTCTAACAAGGGACACGATCCCCATAAAAAAATCTCGAGAGTCTGATCCACTCATCAAGGACATCACGCACAAAGCTATATGTAAACACATACAAGCAACGCGTCAAACCATTGACAACGTCAATAAATAACAACTCCCACGAGGAGATAACTCGATCCGCGATACCACATCATCGCAGAACAACACCGACGACTCAAGTAACTTATATCGCGACAACTTGGTCGCGCTACGCGCCAACGCGCCTTCACGCCCCTCAGACACACGCGCCAATGCATTTTTGCTCATCATTAGGCCATACGCCAACAAGCGACTACTACAATTTTTACTCTCGAGACGATCTGACACCCATTTCAACATGGCCCCCACATCGACTCGAGAGTGGGGGGCTTAATGATATGCCTAATTGGGCCAACCCAATGGGCTTACAATTTATTTATCTACTGGGCCACGAGCCCAATATTGAAGCCACTATCATCGAGGCCCAATCACCTTCAAATAAGGTTTGAACCCAACAACCTCAACTAAGGTATAAATAACGATATAATTCATTTATTAAAGGTACGCCCTATTATCTAAATAATATTACGAGTCATATTCTCTCAACTATTTCTACTATCCGCACGTCTAACTTGAGCATCGGAGGGGTTTCCGCCGGATCAACCCCCGGCCTAGTTCACGTGTTCTATGATCGCAGGTATGTCAAGGTCATCAAGATCGTGAGCTAGTGATCCAGTCTCCTCTTCTAGCTCATCCTACTTCAACACTCTAAGGTGATCTACTTTCTAGCATCATAAAAAAAGATTGAATTGAAAATTCTGAAAATTTTAATTTGGGTCTTATAAAATTCCAAGTTGAAACTATAATTTTCAAAATTTTGAGGTTTAAGGGTATGTTTGACTTTTCGTATCCTAAAAGTTACTCCAACCACACAATCCGCGAATGGGCATAAAGAAAAGTTATTAAGGGGTTTTTTCGGCTTTGACAAACTTTCATAGGAGGGTCTTTGCTAATTATTCTTTTAA